GCTGATATCGCGTGTAACAACGCGGGCTCCAACGATCACTTTAGGCGGGAATGAAGGGGACCAATCAAATTGTGAGTCAATTGTGCAAAGAAAGCTTCCAGGCAAGAAATGTGAGATTCACATATCTTTGAAGTGTTCATTTATTTTTTGCGGGGATGGCAGGGGTGGACGCGGAGGCAGCAGCAGTAACAACAAGAAGGAGGAGAAATATATGTGCGCTACACACTGGTATTACGCGCAGTGTGGAGCATCGCTTGCATTAAGACTTATTCTTGGGCCAGCGTAGTTTAATCAGCCACAAACAGCTAGAGATGATAAACATTGCCAGGAGCCTATGGGCTCCTGAAATTGTAAGCTTTCGCATTTCTATATAAACTTGACGTTTCGTATGCTAGTCAACATACATTTTCAAAAGTGATCTAAAGTAACCGGCAGATTACGACAAGACTATTTTTACAAAATGTACAAAATTTATTTTTCGCTTGCATGGTTTACATCTCGATCTCCAGACTTTGAGATAAGAACAGCTTTGAAAAGTTTTGTCTCGGCCCTGAGTTTTGGCGCTGCTAAAAACGGAACACAGCCGCCTCACCTTGCTCCAGGATCGATAAGAGGGCGGCTGTATTAGTCTAAAAAGGGGGATAATATTAAACCCGGCCCTTCCCCTTTAATTTCTATTTGACTTTATTTGATATATTTGATTTATTTGTACACGAAAAAAAAAACATCCAATGCTTAGGGTGCGTTTTTCTACTAAAATCTGAGATTGGATCAAAAATCCGGATCATTGAGATTTTCCGTCAAATAAACAAACGATGTATCCAAAAAAGGATTATTTTCATTCATTTCTGTAGAAACGACCCACAATATAGACGGTTTCCTGGCGAAAATAACACGGTTGCTGATAATGTTGCAAATTTAATTTGCTGATCTTTCTTTGTATTCTGGATGCTTAGCTCAAGGATACTGCTTTAGACAAACCAAGTAAAGATGAGTCTTGAAATAAGATATATCTCCTGGAAAAGTAAAATATTGCAAGACGCGCCGGCGAAGTTGTATAGCAGTTTTGTCTCGATTTGTCCCTGTGAACTAAACAATTGTATTGCAATTTTGTCAGTCCCGATAAAACGATCCCTGGTTTAATCCACGCCTCGGGCTTAAAAATGGCCATAAATATGAGAAGTGTTGTCAGACAGCTGCCGTATGTACTAAAATTATTTCGAGTTACCCGCTGGTGGCTGTATTCACTCTTTTTGGATCCGTAGCAAAGAAACGCTTCGGATCATGTATCTTAAGTATTTGGTTTTGGATATGATCCAAAGAATCCACCTCCGTTGTGGATCATTTGGATCAATGATTCGTTTTTGGATTTTAGGACTGGAAATGAAATATCCGTTTTCGGATTAAAGATCCAGATTTGGATTTTACTAAGAAGTTCGCACCCATAAAGACCGATTTTTTTATGACCTTGAAAAATGGTTTCGGTAAGTGTTCTTTATTTCTTTTATCAGCCAATGAATCAAAAGATCAAAACATGGCCTCTTCGTTATTCCGCAAAAGAAAACCCCAATATGGAAAAGGCATTGTTCGATTGGCCAACTGTGTTGCAGTATGACGTAAAAGCGAAGTATCGGTTGATTCGTTGTCCCAGATAGTTCTCTGGCAACCAACCAAAAGCCACGCGCGTTTGTATGCGTTCGATGAACCAATCAAATCGCTCTCTCGAATTCTGTTTTGTTCGCGCGTTTTCATTTCAAGGTCATGCGAAAATCGCTCTATCTAACAATTAGTTCCGCGAGCGAGCAGGATAGTCACCACTTGCACACTCGGGATTTTTCGATTTGTTCCGCTGGAAAACATTTCTCGGTTTTGGCCAAATAATATAAAGTATAATATTAACCAAGGTTGTTTAGTCAAGAAGGCTGGATGTTAGCTGCATTATTGGGCGGCATCTCTTAGTCTCGGTCCATGCATAAATACTCAAAAAACGAACTTGGCCATTATCAACCCATCTTGACCTCACACGTATAAACTTTGAGATCCCATAGTTAATGCATGGCGCAAAAGCTACATGCAAACGAACACAACAACTCCCAATATTGTTCGCCCGACAATTTTTCGGAGTTGTGGTGACAGTGTTGGTGAGTGGTGTGCAAACAACTCCAGACACTGTTGGGACCTGCAGTGCATCGTGGGAAGGATACAACCCATAAGACTTTGGAGACCATGTGTAATGCGCGTGCGTGGCTCCAACTATGTTGGAAGAGCTGTGCAAACGGATCCAACATTGTTGCGCTACGCTTCGGCGATCACAGAACAAAAGAAATCTTGGGGGTTGTTGCCTCAAAATTTTGAACCGTTTCAAACTTTGCGCAACAACACGCAACAACATGCAACAACAAGCAACATGGCGTGCAAACGGACGCAACATGTAACATCCAGCAATGTTGTGGGTTGTTGGCCAGCAATGTTGCATCTGTTTGCACGAGGCATGATACATAAAAAACCTCCATGCTTTGTTCCTTGTGTCAATGACCTGTTTTCGATTAGCCAAACATGAAGAGCCTGTTCGCAGGCTATTTTTCGATACCCTGCTGAAACAGTTTTGACACGACAATTCTTATGTGATAAATCAGTTATAGCTTGTTTGGTATCTCTTCCAAGCAGACTTACAGACTGTTCTTAATTATATCGAAAAAAACTTGTTTTCGTTTGGAAGCTTCGCTTTTAGGTTTGCATAAATCAATATTTCATCTTAAAATTAAATATAATATATAGATTTAGCCAGGGCTAAAAGCGAAGCTCCCCTTAATAAATTTGCAGCTTACATCGAGGAAAAATTTTGGGACTTGTAACCACTGCAAAAAAATCGATCTTGAATAAAAGAGCTTTCCAGACCTCAAGAAACGGCTCGTTAATTTCCACATAGAAAATCATGGAACTTGAGCTTGCGATCAATTGAAAACTAGCGACTGATCAGCGGTAAACTTAAAAAGTCACGTCATCTCTCAAGATACCTGAGCCCGCGACGCAGCATGTCATACTGGTCAGTGGATATTCTGTTTTGACAGCTCTCGATAGGCCATAACATGGATGTGCAATGTAGGAGAATGTATATAGTTGAATTTCCTCGAACTGGATTTTTTGGGACTGCCACCAAGTTTAGAGAGAGAAATTTGTAGTCTTGTGTTTACGTCCTCCATAAAACTTCGCTTGAGGGAATTTCACCTCAGAGTCGTGCAGTGACGCCAACAAATGTACAACAAAGTGTGCTGCATGTGTAAAGTTGTTGTTTTTCTCATAAAATCTTTTGCTTTTTAGCCGTTCTCGTTGCCTTCGCCGTCGTCGTGCTATCCAAAGCTCCGTATTATCTACAGGCTCCCACATTAATAGAAAGTATGACTTTTCACATTGGTTCCTCTGTGGTGCGGACGGAGTGACTACCAAATTTTCTTAGCTATATGGGGCACGGGCTCGCTCGTGGAGCTCCGCTATAATAATTTAGGTATCATTCATTTCATCAACATATCTCGATGGAAACAAATGCTAGGATACAGTTCTCATTTTTGTTAAAAGATGTTTCGAAAATCCATAACTATTATTCGCTAATATGCAAACTCTAATTTAGCCCTATGATATCGGCCCTTTAAAGTGAAGAGTTAGCAGACTTTAACCTGTGTACTGCCCAGCCTAATGTTTAACTCAAACTCAGAAGCTAGAATATTTATCTTAATTCTCAGAGACCGTGACTGAGGTCTGTCAAGACCAGACTTTCGTATTTCCTTTCACCTTTGCCAAAAGCACGTTTCATCAATTAATTCGGGAAAACTGACACGGGATGTGAAATGATGCCAAAAAATTTTAGTGAGATGATCACGTCGCCAGAAAATGGGTAATGTGTTGTCTTTTCTGGTTTAGTGTTCTGTTACGTCAGGCTTGCGGAAAAAGGAAAATGGGGAATGGCAGCAAATCGTGGAGAGTATAAGTATTGAGTAGTAGTATTGAGTAGATTTTCTGTGCGGCTCATAAACGTAAATGGTCAAGACTTCCAGCCAGTTTTCCTTTTCAAAAAACCGCTTTCTTGCCAGGCATTAGAGATAACTATTTATAAGTTTAAATCAATAGTTTGTTCGTGAGCAGCTCTTCTAAAATAAGCGCAAATAATCAAGAGCTGAAACAGAGCCAAACAAAATTCAGTTTTCTCTAATGTGACTCATTTTGGCAGTCGCCAATATCAATGACTTATTGAGCCGGCGTATTTCCGACCCAAAATATAATTCACTTAAACAGTCTATTGTGGCCAGTCATCTGCACGACAGTTGCGGCCGACAAGTAGTCTTCGAGACGGCCGACAGTTTTGAAAGTTCTTAATTACTGCAAATAATGACGTCACAATAATGATTAGAAGCCAGTAGCGCTTGCGCGTCTACTTACAACAAATGTTTCAGAGTCGGAGTAAATAAACGAGTGATGCAAAGCTAGACAAATGATTGTAAGAATGAGCTCTGGATCAAAAAGAAACAGAAAAACTAACAGAAGCAGGGACAAATGTAAGTAAACTTGATTCTTTGCTAGCTGTTTTTCCTGTAACCTTGTACTTTCACCCTTCTTCGTTTCAAGATACAATGATTGCCCCACAAATCATAAGCTGAATTCTGGAGCTACTTCACTTAGACAATTTTTGGATACGGGGCTGTGTAGGGGCCTCCCTTAACTTTCATTTCGTATCTTAAATGAGGCGTTCAGTTCGTCAAAGTTGGGTTACTCTTCAGACAATCGATCACTGGGGGAAAAAATCGAAAAGCAAACGAACATGACTAAGATAATTGTCTTACAATCTTTCAAGTGAAGGCTCCCTCTGATCTTACATTCGACTTTCCTAGTTAGTTAAACATATGCTTGCTTTTACCAGTTATTCATTTTTTCTATCCACTTCTCTCCTAATTCCAGCTGATTCTAATTAGGTTCCCCTATTTCCTTTATTGACTTATCAATTGTCCATGCCTTTAGCTTCAGAATCTCGCGGTCGTCGTCGTTTGCAGTTTACCTCCGCTCCGCTTGAAGGCAAGACATTTTTCCTTCACGTGCAGTCAGCAAGTAAAGCCAGGGAGCTGGAGAGAAAACTCAAAGAACTAGGAGGGGTCAGTACAGAGATTTAATGTTACTTCAGTGGAAGGGGTGCAATTAAAGGATGGTGACAGACACCCGAGAGAACGTTTCAGTGGTATCAAAGGTCATAAAACATCGCCTCTCTGAGGACCAATCTCAAATGATAACAAAATGGACCAAAATGGTCTTACAATTTTAATGCAATCTGCACGCACTGATATTCAACACAATCTAAAGAGCATGCAGTTATCCCCCGTTGCAACAGAAACTTGGTGTAGGTACCCCAAAATGTCAGCATGATAATGTCTGTTATAATGAGTTTGTTTTATGATTTCAATGTTTACGTATATGATTACGCTACACTGCTTATCTCATGTTATCTTGGACTGGAACGTATACAGCACATGAGGAGTAAAACAGGACCTGCTCAAAACACAGTTGAATGATGAAGACTACACAAGACTGAATGACGGTCCAAATTAACTAAGCTTCTTAAAAACTTAATGCCATTTCGGGAGCCATTTCAAACTATGTGTTTATATACTAGCTTTTTCAAAGTTCGGACTTATTGGTTCTTATTTTATTAAATGTTTTCTCTTCTTTCTCTGTACTTAATTTGTAAAACACATCACTATAATGTTATTACAAACTTTATTCCAGGATAAGTCCATTGCATATGCTTTCTTTTTACAGTTTTAATGATACATTATCAGTGTGCATGTCTTTGTTTCAAGACCGTACTCTTGAAAAAGCACATGCATCTATAAAACTTGCATGCAAAAGGTCAGAAGAGGGAACGTAGTAAATCAGGGTATCAAACCATTTATATTTTTGTTGGTTTTTTTGATCTCTCTAGGTAGTAGAAAAGTTTCTTAGTAAGGAATTGTCATGTGTGATCACAGACCAAAAGAAACCAGGAACTACAAACCTCACTTTATCGGGCAATCGAGGGGTAAGTATTCTCATCACTACGTTTGGTGCGCGCAAGTGTGCGCTTTTATTGTTTGTTGCATAGATCAATGAACTGGAGAGTTGTCTTCTATTTGTTTTAATCTTTCAGGCATCTGTTGCCTTATTACCTTTACTGTTGTAGGTCTGATTCCAATAGACTTTTCGCTGTTCCGTATCTTTCCGTAAGATCGGTGGGATCTACGCTGGGTGCCAGAGACTTTTCATGGACAGTTCCTGGCTTCGGTCTAGTCTTTAGAGAGCTTTAGATTTGAGGACGAGGACGGGTACAAGTACGAGATTTAACTTAAGTTTTTGCGCGTCTTCTGAAAAAAGACACCCTGGAAAGCTTCTTCTTACCTTTTTTCACCAAAAAAGTTTGTTCGGTTATTTGTACTAAAGGAGGTTAAGCCCTCTCCCGATAACAAAATGATAAAACTTGTTACATTTGATAACTTGTTTCCGCCACTACGACATTCTCACTATTCTAATGACGATGGCTATCACGTGTTCCCGCCAAAATAACGCTGATTCATGCGCGCGCACTACTTAGTGTTGGGAAATTCTGGGAAAATCTCGTACTCGTAGTCGTCCTCTTCTCAGTGTAGAAAATAGGGACTTTAAGATCCAACGACGCGACGGCAACGAGAACGTCGCTTAAAAAAGGAAATTACGTTCTTTCAGTTTTTATCGCAATTATTCCTATCCACTCACTTTGTCAAATGTACATGTAGGCGAACCCTCCTGGAGTTGAATGCCTAGGGACCATATCCAAGTGCAGAAAGACGGAAACAAAATTTCGTCGTTGATTGTTTACGTATTCCATAAAACGCGAAATTAGGCATTTTCACGTCGTAGTCGTGCAAAGCGGGCAAAGAAATGTACAAAAAAGCGTGATGCACCCGCAAAGTTGTTGTTTTGCTTATTAAACCTATTGTTTTTTTGACGTTCTTGTTGCCGTTCGCGCGCGGCGGGAATTTTCGATGTTGGCCGAAGGCGGAGACCGCGAGAAAAAAAGCTTTTCGCGCGGGTCACCATAAAGACTTGACAGAAAAGGGAAAGTCTCTGGTACCCAAGATATATATCCCGAGGATCTTACGGGAAATAGGGGAATGAACAGTTATTTCTAAAGCTCACAAATTAGTCTTCTTTTTTTCAGCCAACTCGTGCTGAAGCCATTCTCCAGAAGTCTGTGAAACAACAGAAACAACCAACCAAGAGTACCGATGTCCTGACCAATGCAGAAAAGTGGGGAATACAAGTCAAACCGGTTGAGCAAGTTTTAAAATGGATTGAAGGGCAAACGAAACGTCAAGCTACTAGTAGGCAACCGTCTGGCCGTGTTTGCAGTCTCAGAGGGGCTTTCCTTAAAGTGGAAGATCATAGTCGGTAAGATACATGGTTTAAGAGTGCTCAATAGTTAACCTAGAGAATACATCAAGTAGACTGATGCGTGAGCTGCACTAAGTGGTCTTGAATATTTATTGCGACTCAGAGACTTCTGCGAAACAGTCATCAGGCAACTGCCAAAAAGAACGATTACAATCGAATATATAGAGAAAACAATACAACAAATGGGGCGTCGAAGAGCTTCGACGACTTACCATTTCATCATGATTAACCAAACAGAATCAGCAGACGCGCTACGCACCAAACGCTACGCCCCACGCGCCATTTATTGTTCTGTTTTCTCTATATATTTCATTGTAATCGTTTTTTTGGCAGTTGCCCGATGATTGCTTCGCAAGAAGCATGAAACTCTATGTAGCAATAAATATTCAAGACCACTTAGTCCAGCTTCATCAGTCTACTTGTAGTGTGCGGTATGGATATTAAAATTTTGAACCAATTGTTTCCTTTCAAATTAATGACTCACAGAATCACTCCAAATAAACTGTCGGGTTTAGTGATGTGTGGGTTAATATTTTATAGAAAGTCTTAGAAGCTAAAACGCTTCTCCCTCGCAGTCGTTTTTTGGGATGTCACGCAACGTTCTTGTAGGGTAAACGGCTGCAAGGGAGACTACCATGGACACAAACTACACCAAGGAACGAGTGCTTGCAGCAGAATTTGCGCACATTTTAGCCATGGCTAAGAGAAAGGCACATTAGCTTGCTAAAAAGCTTATGTAGGCTATGTTCACTATACCGGCTGACTTTTACGCTGGCACGAAAACCATATGATACCGCATAGGGCCCCTGATCTGCACACATAAGAACGGATAGTGGCTGCGCTGCGCTGGTCTCTTAAGTGGAGAGTCACATATCAGATAGGTGTTCATACCATACCGGATAGCTAGCCCATGGTATAGAGTGTACATAGTATAACCTGAGTCTATTTGATTAAGAATCCCTTCAGTACCTCAAGGCCAATGATGGCTTAAATCTAACAGTATTTCCTAGGCAAGAACTTCGCCGATAATCTGATCGTTAAAAATATACTAATAATTCTTGTTACTCCGATAGACAATACAGACCCCTGGTTAAGGAACTAAATATGTGGCCACGACTGAACCTCGATGCTCCGCCCGGCTTTTCACCCTTTGACGAACCGGTGAGCATGCGCACAAGGTCACGAAGTTCATCTAAAAGTCCACAGAGGCGCACCAAGCGTGCAGCTGGTAAGCGCTCTACTGGAAGTACGGACAAGAAAGGATACTGTGAGCTGTGTGATGAGCAGTATGTGGGGATGAAGACGCATATTACCGGCAGACAACACAAGTTGGTGGCATCGCGAAAAGATACCTACGCTGAACTGGATAGGCTGATATCAAGAGGGAAAACTTTAAAAGAATTTGAGGCTGAAATGAGAAAGAAAACAAGTGCAGAGGCTTCAAATACAACTAGAAAATCAAGGTAATCAAGCAACAAACCAGTCAGTACCAAGCAAACTAACGATAGTATTAAGTAATTAAGTTAGAAGCAAACTTAGCGAAGGCAATCACTACTTTTACATTAGAAAGTTCCGTGCTTGTCAGTGACGGATTTAAGATCTTCAAGTAAAGTAGGGTCCGCTAATCCAGAGCCTAAGAAAAAAGAAAAAAAATTCCCAGTCCTGCAGGCTTCAGCTTGGCCTCATGTAAAGACGTTTAGCCCCCGCTCCTGGATTCCCAAGTTTGTTGAATGGAACAGAGATCATACTGAAAAGGAGAAAATCTTGCCTAGTCCCTAGGCCTCATTATTGCGCGCGGCCGATGCGTTTCGGGTCACGTGGTCAAAGCATTGACCGAGAAGGGAAGGGAAGACGCTGTGCTGGGACTAGCCAAGAATAAATCTAAAAGGCATCAAGTGAGAGCGAGGGTGCGTTTTATTATGGGTCTGGGATGAAAGTATTTTGGAAAATCAATAACCACACCTAACTGAGAGTCGAGCAAAAGTACAGAACTGAAAATTCGAAACAGCAATCGTCCCCTGACTGAAACAATTCTCGATTACATTCTGTTACTGCTATTTATACAAGCCAACATAAGCTTCCAGGCCCTTAGTTGTTCAAAAGTGGATAGCGTTATATACTAGATACAAATATTATCTAGTGCATATTGCAATTGCGTTCCCTAACACTTTCCGCCCGAGAAGCGCTATCCAGTGTTTGGGCAACAAGGGCCAGCTTCTTACTTTTGGCATCTCCTGAGTGGAAGCGAAAGTTTTAACACATGTTTTGTTGTCACTTTTTTCCTTACGCCTTTAGGTCAAGAAGTAGATCTCCAGTTATTGTCAAATCAACTCCTCAAAAAAGAAAGATAATATCAGGAACATCCACATCCCCACGAAGACGGAAAACCTTAAGAAGCAAGCCGCCAACTCCATCTCCTGGCCGAAGGACCCCAAGTAGACAGTCGGAGACTTCCTCGCCCGCCCGAACAAGGCCGAACTCTGCTCAAAAGGTTAAAAAGATGGTAACTCCGATCAAAATTGTCCGATTTCAAGATGATCAATATTCCGTCGTGAAATCCAGCGCTAAGAAGAGACGTCGCGACGAAGCTGACGTTGAAGCTAGTCACAACAAATCCAAAAGAAAAAAGACGGATCGATATTCGATCGTCGAGTCCACACCGATGAGAATCCGACTTCGGCGCAGTAGGAGAAGCGGTTCGAAAGGGGCAAGCGGGTCTCTTTTTGTTAACCTACCGGTGTTCGTCAAAAGCCCGAATGGACGCTCGCCATAGCTTCTTAAGAGTCCTGGACTGTAATCAAATGCAGCAACCCAAAGATTAAAATCTTAATAAAGGAGAAATCAATCTGTTATGGCGAAATACTATTTATTATATAGACACGAGTGTTTTACTGGAAAATATACCACTCGTAAAATTCATAAAAACTACATCCGAGACCCGAGTGGTTTATTTTCCATAATCTCACACGTGAGTTTATCGAATATGTAATTTCGGTAGTTTCCCTCTATTATTTTATCGATGTCTTTTTGTCTATATAATAAAAAGAACATTACACGGCGGCTTGAAGATATGAATTTTATTTTCTCGTGGCAAAAACAATATTTTACTCACTCGCTGCGCTCGTTCGTAAAATATTGTTTTGCCACTCGAAAAAAATTCATATCTTCGCGCCACCGTGTAATATCCTCTATTTAATGTAGATTTAACTGGTATACTTTTTTAAGCAAACCCGAGATTTAAACACAAACAGACTGACTGCCAGAACGAACGACACCAATTTCAGTGGAGTTTATGCCCTTCGCAATGAACTGCAATTTGACCTGCGAAATCTGTGAGGACTGTCTGAAAAAGTTTCGAAGTCCGTCACAAAATATTTTTAGTCCTTTACAATACCAGTAACGCAGGATTGTAATTACTGAAGGTGAACTACTCAGGAGAAAAATAGGAAAATACAACAGAGAAAGAAATGAAACATTTGACATTAGTTTGTTACAAACCTTGCCGTTATGGAGAGGATTTAGAGGTAAACTCAGACGTTATTCTTAAAAATAGAGTTTCTTTCAAACCCCATAATATATAGATAATATATGCTCGTAGTCTAATCCTAAAAGTATTGTTATGAGACTTTTGTGAACTGAATGCTATCTAGTAATAAAACTGTTATTAACTCACACAACAACTCTTATTGCATCTTTATTGAGAACACTGACCCTCTTTTTCTGCAGACAAAATCAAACTAATTGATTGCTTTAAACTCCACAACAAACGTAAAACACAAACGGTGAGTTCTTCACTTATTCCATTAGAATAGACATATATCAAACTAATTTTTTCTCCAAGATCTTAGAATGCACTACTTCAACACTTCCTACCCAGTATTAGCCTGAATTTCATCCGATTACTTCCAGTCATTATTACTCCCTCAGTAACGTCGTTGCTGAGTGGAGAAAGCGACTCAATGCAATCGCATGAATTTCAGGCTAACCTGGTATTTTAAAAGATAAAAAAAACTGACATGGTACACATAAATCATAATCACGTTTTCGCTGGTTCTTTGTAAAAAACAACTTAAAATTTACAGCCAATAATAACTCACTAACAAAGTCTCATACAACGGTTTTCAGACTTGGCCAGAACAAAAGGCAGTGACCAGAAACTCATAATTCCCCCATGTTTCCTCTATTCTTGAGTAAAGATGGCTAAGCAAAGGCTGTCTTCCATGCACTGCTAGTTGTCACTTAATCACCATTTTTACCGCTATTTCTTGTTGCATTAATTGGTTGGGAAACTCTTTAAGCCTGAACTCTTCATAAGTACCTAAAACACTTCAAGAAGCACATTAATCCAAGTCTCCAATAATGCAGCCATTTTAAGGATCATCACGCAATACTCCTCTCTGCAGTCTTTTTCTTGCGTCGTCATGCAACACTCCCCTTTCCGTATTTCAGAGAGAAGTGCTGCGTGATGACTCGCATAATGGCTGCGTAAGAGACTTTGTTCACGGCAACCCCGCCCTCCACTCTGTACAGACACATCACACAACCCTCTCCACACCGAGTCTATGAACTGTTCATTGTGTTCTTTGTACTCAACTCCACTGATCACAAGGCATCAATGAAGCTACAAGATCTTGTGCTGCATTATTTTCTACACTTTTTGTCATTCCATTAAAACACAGCTGGCGTGATGCATGGTTAACAGATTTTGAGCCTGATTCACATTCTTCTTGTTTCACTGGAGGTAAGCGACTTTCAAACCCTCTTAACCTTTCATGATCAATGCTTCTCCAAATCAAACTATACCCAAGGAAAGCTGGATCCCTCTTTTGTGTGTCAAGGGGGAAAACCACATTTTTGATCCCTGCTTTTATAATCAGCGGAACGCATTCATTACAAGGTGTTTTGCTCACAAACATAGTACAGGAAACATCACTAATGTTCCGAGTGTTCCTTCCAAGAATTGCGGCCTGTTCAGCATGGACAGAGAAGGGGTACTTTTTTGAGGGTAAGGGTCCATCGCAGTGGGAAGCTCTGGGAAAATCTCCATAACCTGCTTTCGGAGGATAACCGTTCCAACATGCTGATACAATCTGGTTTCTTTGCAGTATCACAGCCCCTACTCCCCTTTTGGGATCATTTGAGCATTGTGCCAAAATATTGGCCATTCTTGACATATGTCGAGCCAGTTCCTGCCAGCGTGGGTTAGAACTAAGAGGAAGGATGATATTATGTTCATCGTCAGGCAGAATGTTATTCATGCTTCCACAATTGGTTTCAATTTTGGTTGAATTTTTGGGATTACACTCATAAAAGGTGACAGATTCAGGAAGGTCCCCAAACGTTACTCTTGAGATCCATTCAAGCATAACCTCAATGGAGTGATCTACTTGTTTCTTGCATTCATTGTACTCAGGCCATTTCAGCTGTTTTGCAACTCTACTTTTCCACTGTTCACCCCAGTAACGACCCAGTAAAGATAACATAAAAGTTATATGACAATGCTTACTCGCGGAATAGGGCGAGTACCTCAATTCACTTTCTGCTAAAACTATTTTCTGTATATTGGGCACATAAATAGACTGACCAATCTCACTCATCCTGTAGAGTTTTTCAACTTTATCAAGATCATCATCATTGGGATATTCTGGCTCAAATGGTAGATAACATACTCTGGAAATCCCTGCTTGGATCATGAGTTTGGTGCAAACAGAGCAAGGTTTACGCGAGGCGTAAATAACGCAATTTGCTGCGCGGTCACTGAAGTCAACTAATACACTTGTCACGCCGTGCACATTGTCACGCGAGCAATCGATCGCCACGATATTCTCTGACGAAATGTCGACCATTACAACGCCAATTTTGTTCACTGTGGGGCTGTTGCAGTTCACTGACTTAGCCTGTTCATCTGTGGGTTTTCTGTTAATAAACCTATTGACTGATGTTTCACAATGTTTGAGACTTTCCTTCTTTGAATCCGTGACATTGTTAATCGCCTTCGTTGTCCCATTGACCAAGTTATTCAAGACCAAATTTGTCTCGTCACGGACCAAAATATCAGAATTTCGCGAAATTATCTTGTCTGTGGTGACGCAGTTATTTGTCTTCGCCCTCTTTTTAAGAGGACCGTCCTCTTCGGGGGCATCAAACCACGTGCCTTCGTTGTTGATCGAATTAATGTTAAGATCATCGCAGTTATCATTTAGTTCAAGATCAAAACCACACATCACCGTCGTCGCTAGGGGACACTCTTCCATCCACAGTGCCAAGCAAGAATACAGATCCGTTTTGTCTATCGTGTTTACAAACTTAGCAAAGTCATACTGCCCTTGGCTCATTTTGAAGCAACGTTTATGGTAATCCGCTATTAGTCAAGTGTAGATTACAGACAGAATTATATGCTTGGATCCCACCGGCAAGATGTTTACATTTTACCTCGTGATTTTCAGTTTTCAAATCCAGGCCGCTTGTAGATGCTTGCTTCACATCATGTTCTGATGTGTACAGACCTATATCAGCGGAGGCCTCTACGCGTCGCAAGATCTCGTTTTGATGCCCGTAAACACGTTTACGGTATATTGAAAATTAATTGTTTTCTTCTTCTGATGGATAGACACGTCACCTGTCTGTGACGTCACGATTCGATGTCACCTGTACTTTGACCTGCCCATAAAATTCAAGTGAGCAGCTGGTTTGTTTGTTTGTTTGTCTGCTACTGTTGTTTTTGTTTTTTTATGTCTTTGAGAGGGAAAGAGAAAATGTTAGGCTGGCACGGGAATTGGGTCATTTTCTTCTGCTTTCTACCAGACTGGGTCGTCACGCAACACTTCTTCCCAACTAATGCGTGACAGCTTACAACTATCATGAGTGTCAGGCGTTTCTTGGGGGAAATCTCCTCTCCTAGCCCCTTAAGAAGGGGCAAATTTCGTCGTGGATTGTTTACGTCCCCCATTTTCACGCCGTAGTCGTGCAGAAACGGCAAAGAAATGTACAAAAAAGCATGATGCACGTGCAAAGTTGTTGTTTTGCTAATCTGAGTAAACCTGTTGCTTTTTTTGCCGTTCTCGTTGCCGTCTCCGTCGTCGTTGCTCAAGGCTCCTGATGTTACACATCGCGATTCGCAACGACATGTTTCGCGCAGCACAGAGTTGCAATGTTGCAACTATGTTGTAGCAATGCGAAACAATGTTGCAGCAATGTTGAAAGCCCTGGGGACGAGGTTGAAAAAAAATAATAAAAACAACAATTGTTCCAATAGCTCGGCAGTAGAATTTCAATTAATTCTTTGAATCATTCTTAATCTTGATTTTGCTCTTGCGAAATATATAATGGCGTACAAAACGACACTAAGAAACGATCAATTATTTTTTCCTTATGTTGTTACAGTAGTCATGTTAAAGTGTGGGTGTTCACACCGGTGACAACGATCGACGCATTCACCCCTCATGTGTCGTCAGCACGTTGCCAGTGTAACTCGGCAGTTTTCAGATATCGTGTTTTGTCATTCTTTCATGAATCACTTGTCATTTTGGTACTTTGTGAGAGCCTCATTTGAGTTAAGTGTTTGTGTCATGATAAGTTTTTTCTATTTTTTTTCTCCCTTCAGTTGTTATAAAAGGGCAGGTTAATAGGCCACATTTCTTTTCGAGTGTTATTCAGCTAACTTGCTCCGAAATGTTTACTAAAGTTACCCACCACAAAACAAACTTGCCATTTTTCTACCCATTCTAATATAACCAGTCAATGTTGACTATATTTTGGGCTTATACAAATTTC